TGAGGTTTAACATGGTTAATGACATATTTCCAATGATTGCTCAATTTGAATCCATCTTCTAGGTTGAAGTTATGAATATGTTTGTATATCTGTATGGCTTCATGGACAAATCTTTGGTGGTATCCAGACGGCTTGCAGAGTACCTTAGTATCGGAGAAAATAATATCATAACCCACAGTGTTGTAACAGTCATCAGCTATGGCCGAAGAATTCGTTCTGCCGTGTTTCAAATCTGATTTGTGCTCGCGAATTCGGTCAGAAATATGTCGTTTCGTCTCCCCGATATAACAGTCACCGCAGGTACAACTCAATTTGTAAAAACCGGGCTCCTGTAAGTCAGGAATGACATCCTTTACGGATGGGATCAGATCACGGATTTTGTATACTGTGTTTAACCGGACCTGGATCGTGTGTTTATAATTTTGGAAATCTTTTTGGTAACGCCTGCTATGTATGACAGCGTGATGATTTTGATCGGAGCTTCAGGTGGTTGTTTCTGTATGGTGGGAGAAACAGCTTGGCGGATAGTACGGTCTGAGTATCCGTTCATCTTGAGGGCCAGATGTACATGTTTTAATTCACTGGCCAGGTGGTGTTGGTCAGAGATGCAATGAGGCCTATGGTATAGTGTTTTGATGAGATAATTATTTTGAGCCGGGTGGTGGTGGGAATCAGGCTTCAAGTAGGAATCTGTGTGGGTGACCTTCCTGTAAATAGAATGTCCCAAAGAGCCATCAGGCCTCCTCTTAAACAGAAGGTACTCTGCAAGCCGTCTGGATACCACCAAAGATTTGTCCATGAAGCCATACAGATATACAAACACAGACAAAATTTGTATCGAGCAGATGGATTCAGATTGAGCAATCATTGGAAGGACGTGATAAACCACGTCGAGTTTTAACTGCTACTCTCCCCCGCTCCACATCCCCCCCCCCCCCTACATCCGTGGTTCCAATGTTTTCCAGCAGCTTTACCGTCCTGGCTCCACCCACACCCCAACCCCCATCCTACGCTCGTCCTCCCTGGCTCCTCTTACCCTATATAACAGTCTATCATCACAAATAGCTCTCTCTAGAGTTATTTTGCTGTGCCTTTTTTACACCTGATGAAGGAAGCTTGTGTTGAATCCGAAACGTCGTGATTTAATTGAGTTATTTCATTTATTTTACTTTTTACTTACGTGACTTTACCTAAAAAACCAAAGAGTACTCACTAATTGATTTGACCAAACATCCCAATGTAAGACGCTCCTGAATGTTATGAACAACAAGGTTTTCCTGGTTATATAATTTGATTTATATCAGTAATAAATTACAGTCCTTCAGCATTCCATTCCTAGATGGAGATATCTCCATGGGTTTTTGTTTTGGTTCATGCGTGTTGGTGAACCTAAAGACTGATTCAAACATCACTCACCACTGATGTTTACCATGGCCAGGAACCGAACTCAGGCGACCGGTTTCATTGTTATGGCATTAAATTAATAAAGAAAGGGGATGACTCAACACATATTTGTAAATGTGAATGAGGAAAAATGGGGGTGGTTGTTTGCCTCATCTTTCCTGCTTATCTAGGGCACCACCGGTGAAAAGATGTTAACTACCTCGCCCGGTATACAGGGGGTTATAGGTTCGATTCGGACCCTGATACCTGCTGTATATTTAGAGCTTGCGTATCTCTCCCCCAGTGGTCATGTGGATTGTTCTCCCGAGTCCTCCGGGTTTTCCCTTCACATTTAGAATCAAAATCACGCGTTTGGAGTATTTGGTTGCTATACATTTCCACGTGATAAGCCACTCTGTTGAGCTCTCATTTGTGAAAGCCAGCTCGTTTATGAAAAATAGCTATATACCTCAGTAGTGGGCCTTACCTGGTGAAATATTTTTTGTTTAATTTGAAATAAGAAGACGTTCGTTGTAAAATGCATAACGTTGTTGTTCATCGCTGGCTTGGCCAGGCTGAGTGGTGCAGCGACACTAACGCTCCTACTATGCAATTCGCCTACTAAAAGATCAAATAACCATCCGCGCTACTGTTAGTGATGTGCATGTTGGTGGCACCGTTCTTGTTGAATGTGTTTTAACTAAAAGCAACAAAATGGTCACTTCAAATATTTCTATGCTGAAGAGGTGGAAAACCATGTACACACCACTGGCACATCCTCTTCTGTAACACAACATGCTCAGAACATAACTTGGATTTATAAACTTGAGACACAGACCTGGGTTGTTTGTCCTGGTCGGTCCAACGCAACTTTTGAAGCTTTATTAATGGGAAAAAAACATCCGTTGCAATTCTGGTGCATCGTGATAGCATCCCAGTGACATCACTGCAACATCACTCGTACATTTTAGTACAATGGCGATGCAGTATCTTCACTTGGGCATGCTTTACTGTGACTTTAAAGTATTCTTTCTTGATGATAGACGCCGCAAACTCTTTTTGGACTCCCTGGGAATTGCCCTCTCTGTACATATCGACAAGTTTAAAGGTGCTCATTCTTTGGGTAGTGATTTACTTTAAGGTTTGGAAACTCAACCTTTGAGTCCTTAGTGGTTCCAAGGGGAAGGGTGGCGTGGGGGGTGGATGAAAGCGGTCGTTCCTCCCTGCCCTTCCCCTCCCTTTGATGCCCTGAAAGTTGGTGTTTCATTGACAATTGAGAGAGAAAAAACATGTATTTGAGCACGGAAAAAATCCCCCCCCCCCGTTCCCCCCACGTTGGCTGTGTGAGCACGTCGTCTGCACGAGGGCGACATTGTTTTGGATAGAGGGAGGCAGAGGGGGAAGGGGGTCTGCAGGGACCCGGCGTTCTTCGTCCACGCGGGCTTTTGTTGCTTTGAAGCGTGCTCCGTGTGGCAGCGTCTCGGGGTGGCACAACTCGTCTAGGGAACCGATTGCATGTGAAATAGTAAATTGCAGGTCTCAGGGCCCCCCACTGTCCGCTCGAATCCCCTTCGATATATTTGACTCCGTTTTAGCTGCTCACACAAACATAAAAAAAACAACCCGTATAGCCTGAACAGACTGTTGGGGAAAAAAATGCTTGTCTGTGAGCACCTGTAGCAGGCCGGAACTATGGCGCACGAGGGGGTGGTTGGCCAACGCCACTCTCGGCCGCCTTTGTCTCCCCAGGTTTGATGTTTTATAAACTGCACTTAGGTACCATAGTGCATGCTCATGTATACAGGCACACGCACAGAAGAGAGCACTGCATAGATGCGGGATTATAGCTGACAGCACCCACCACGTCTAAATCAGTCTCATTAGCTTGTGTGATTTATGGTTCGTCTTCATGATTTAATTTAATGATTGCATTCACCATATTTTTCTATTAATATTATCACAACTGTAATGATAATAGCAGCATTAATAGCGAGTACATAATGTTAATAGCACTAAATAATATGAACAACAGCAATAAGAATGATGAATATGCCAACAATAATTATGCATCACCAGTAGAGCTTTAGTACCGCATGAACATATTGTGCTTTGCTACACGTATGCTCACAGCTCAGAAGAATACGGAGTCGAACTGCTTCTTGATTCATTAAAGCGATACGTACAGTATGCCCATATATAAATATTTTAAACACATTTTCCCACAGGAGACTCTAGGGCATCTTGCTTTTGAGATGCTTTGGTTAGTGGGGATGTTTGGGCGATTCTATTCGTGAGTGTTTTATATTTCAGAGAAAATCAGTACCCAGAGAAAACCCAGGCACGCAAGGAGATACTACTCAAGAGTTCACATGAATGGGTTCGTGCATTCACCTGCATACGGACATCTTCCCGAGCCCACTTCTTTAAACAGTCAATATACTGCCTGTATTAAATTTTGGCTCAAACCCACGTGTTTTCCTCTTCATATCTCTCAGTGCAATTCCAAGCGTGCATTTTTCCGTGCTCTTTGACTTGATAAGTTTCTCAAAACCCAAATCCAATCTTAGTAATCCTTAAATGTTCACTGTGGAATATAAAAATCGGCATTAATATATTCATCGCCGGTGAGGTAAAAAAATAAGTTAGATATGTTTCATAGTGTATGCAGGGGCATCCATAGCAGCACAAGCAGGGCGAAGGACACCGCGGTGGCTAGGAGATGTTATCTCCCTCGTCTGCTATACAGGAGGTTGTGGGTTCGACCCCAATCCTGATGCCTGCTGTATTTTTGGAGTTTGCATGTTCTCCCCGTGGTTGCATGGATCTCTCTGGGTCCTCCGGTTTTTCTCTACATATTGATAATCAATATTACGTGTTTAGAGCATTTAGCTGCTTGAAATTTTCTCGTGATCAGCTATTTCGTTGGGCTATCATTTTTAATCGCCAGGTAGCTTCTCCAAAAGCGCTATATAGCTCAGTGGGCATTACCTGGTAAAATAAATAATAGTCTTTACAGTTTTAAAAATTCCACCATGTGGCCCCCTCCCCCCAACACCTTCAAGCTAAACCCGAAGTGTTACGTCTGACACCATCACGTCAAAGTACGCCCCCCCCCCCAAATGCGGGGCCCGGGGCGGTGCCCCCTCCCCCCCGATCCCCCCCACCTCCGATTCTACGTGTACACCCTTAGGGAACGGGCTCTGAGTGTAAAGGTACTTTTTTTTAAACATATAAAAGGTTTTATGCCACATCCTCCCTCGTATCATACATTGTAACATCTTGACGTTCTGGACGGTATTACCAGGGCCATCGACGGTATCAGCAGGCACACCAGACTCATCAGAGCAGGTGGGGTGGAGGGGAACGGATTTTTTTTGGGGGGAGGGCGGGGATGGGTTGGCCAGGTCATTGCCATTCTGGGCGCAGGTATTTAAGACTGGTTGTATTCTTCTTCCCTGTTTCTGAGCTTGTAGCTCATGCTCCAGTGCTGAGATTGGGCCGAATGAATTCAGCCATTGAGTATGGGAGGGGTGGTTCGTGATTCTGGCACTACTTAATATGGTTGAGTGTAAAAGCATTTTCATTTTATAAAAATGGCCTGTTATATTTTATTTTAGGTTTCTGAAAAACGTGCATTGGAATGGACAAGATTTCTCCTTCAAAAGCAATGGGTACCTGGCGAGGCCGACCATGGTGGTGAAAGTGGTGAACAAGAGGAGGCTCTGGCAGAAGGTGAGTGTCGAACTATGTGCACGGTAAACCTCGACAATTTGGGAGCGTGCCTTGCAAGCTCAATAATGCAACTTATTGAGAATTAGAAATGAAAAAAAATCCTAGCTTGCACAATTGAAACATGTTATCTCGGTGTGGTTGGATTGGGAGCTACTGTAAATCAATAAATCGATAAGATAGATGTTTTTTTAAAGGTACTGGAATTCATTTGAGATACTTATTGAGACGGCATCCAACAGGTTATGAGTCGGACATGGGGGAAATGGACAACACGTGGACATTCATATGATAACCTTCGTAACTTTAAAGTTTTCGTGACTGGAGGAATTAATATTCTTTGGGTCTTTCGGTAAAGTCACGTAGATAGGTTAAAAGAAACGTCGTAGTTTTTTGTTATTTTCTTTGAACCTATCTACGTGACTTTACCAAAAGACCCAAAGACTATAACCTTCGTACATATTGTTAATATTGATTGCACATTTTAATTGACATTTTTTTTTCTCTACAAAATGTAAATGAGCAAGAGGGTTAATTCAATGTCATTTATCAGTAAGCACACAGAGAGGCCAAAGAGGCAGAGCCAACAGGAAGGGTGCCCTAGAGACCGCAACCCAACGCGAGAGATCCAAACCCAGCTCGTTGTCCTTCCCCCGCACCTCCCATTAGCACGGTTGGCTACATACGGTGGGAAAGAAGTTCAACATACCTACATACATACTCACAGAGACCCATAGACTCACACAGAGACCCATATACTTACACAGAAGACACCCATAGACTCACATAGAGACCCATAGACTCACACAGAGACTCGTAGACTCAAACAGTGACTCATATATTGTTGTACGTATTGTGCGAAAGAAGTTCAACATACACACGTACAGTGAGGGAAAAAAGTATTTGATCCCCTGCCGATTTTGTACGTTTGCCCACTGACGAAGAAATGATTAGTCTATAATTTTAACCGTAGGTTTATTTAAACAGTGAGAGGCAGAATAACAACAATAAAAATCCAGAAAAATCCAAAGTCATTAAGGTTTCGAGGCTGACATTTAGCAACTCGAACCTTCAGCTCCCTCCACACATTTTCTATGGGATTAAGGTCTGGAGACTGGCTAGGCCACTCCAGGACCTTAATGTGCTTCTTCTTGAGCCACTCCTTTGTTGCCTTGGCCGTGTGTTTTGGGTCATTGTCATGCTGAAATACCCATCCACGACCCATTTTAAATGCCCTGGCTGAGGGAAGGAGGTTCTCACCCAAGATTTGACGGTACATGGCCCCGTCCATCGTCCCTTTGATGCGGTGAAGTTGTCCTGTCCCCTTAGCAGAAAAACACCCCCAAAGCATAATGTTTCCACCTCCATGTTTGACGGTGGGGATGGTGTTCTTGGGGTCATAGGCAGCATTCCTCCTCCTCCAAACACGGCGAGTTGAGTTGATGCCAAAGAGCTCCATTTTGGTGTCATCTGACCACAACACTTTCACCCAGTTGTCCTCTGAATCATTCAGATATTCATTGGCAAACTTCAGACGGGCATGTATATGTGTTTTCTTGAGCAGGGGGACCTTACGGGCGCTGCAGGATTTCAGTCCTTCACGGCGTAGTGTGTTACCAATTGTTTTCATGGTGACTATGGTCCCAGCTGCCTTGAGATCATTGACAAGATCCTCCCGTGTAGTTCTGGGCTGATTCCTCACCGTTTTCATGATCATTGCAACTCCACGAGGTGAGATCTTGCATGAAGCCCCAGGCCGAGGGAGATTGACAGTTCTTTGTGATTCTTCCATTTGCGAATAATCGCACCAACAGTTGTCACCTTCTCACCAAGCTGCTTGGCAATGGTCTTGTAGCCCATTCCAGCCTTGTGTAGGTCTACAATCTTGTCCCTGACATCCTTGGAGAGCTCTTTGGTCTTGGCCATGGTGGAGAGTTTGGTATCTGATTGATTGCTTCTGTGGGCAGGTGCCTTGTACACAGGTAACAAGCTGAGATTATGAGCACTCCCTTTAAGAGTGTGCTCCTAATCTCAGCTCGTTACCTGTATAAAAGACAGCTGGGAGCCAGAAATCTTTCTGATTGAGAGGGGGTCAAATACTTATTTTCCTCATTAAAATGCAAATCAATTTATAACATTTTTGACATTCGTTTTTCTGGATTTTTGGTTGTTATTCTGTCTCTCACTGTTCAAATAAACCTACCATTAAAATATAGACTGATGATTTCTTTGTCAGTGGGCAAACGTACAAAATCAGCAGGGGATCAAATACTTTTTTCCCTCACTGTACATGCAGTGAGTTGTCAAGGAGGACGTGACAGCTGCGGCGGCATTACACGTTAGGAGGGTTTTTTATTACTCAGAGGTCAAATGTATAGAATTAAGTCCGATTTTTTTTTATAAGATCGGTTTTATTGCGTACTGTTTGGTCACCATGCATTTACTGGTGACTCACTGGCATTAGAAACCTGTGTTTATTCATGGGTGGTGACTCAAACCCAAGGTTTTAAATGCTCGCATTACCGTAATTCGCCCCTTGAGCCTTCTGGCCACCTCCCTTGGTTAAACATTCAAATGAGAGTGGGTGACACTGCTAGCTTCGAGTTAACCGTATCATTGCTCACTCTTCTCAAAGCACAGCATTGCCCAAATTTGTCCCAATCCGTTGCTGCCTCGTTGAAGGTCCACGTGGCTCAGCCGTGGCATTTTTGCCCCGTGACAGGTGGCATTCACAGCAGCCGCTCATTGGATAATGTAATGCTTTTGAGCTACGATGCTTCGAGCATTTTTTTGCATCTTGCATTGTGAATCTTGCTGCAGTGGCAGTGGTAGCAGCGGCGGCAGCAGCAGCATTAACGGAAGCTCACTGTGCTCGTGTATGGATTGAAGCTCACCGAAGACGTTCCCATTCTTGAGGCGCAGCTTTCCCACTTTGGCCGTGACCCTCCAGTGATCGCGGCTAATTATGGTTTCATTCCATGAAAGGGGGAAGAAGGCATTGAAGGAAGCATGGTGGGGTTTGGTGGGAGAGTGTGAGGGGGTGGAGGTGACAGAGGGTGGATCATGAAACTCGCAGTTGGGGCAGTGATTAAAACCGCTAATTAATAGTGAGCTTCGTTCATTTATCAATGTTTCTTTGTCTTAGGTTCACTTGTTTCACAAAACCATGCATTTATTGATTTCAGGAAGCATTTTCCTGTTACAGTGACATCTTAGCGAGCTGTTGACATTTCAGCATTTTATTTTGTCATCGCTAATGAATGCATGTTAATTATTTTATGAGTGTCAAGTTCAACGAATGTAGAAACTGCATGTGGGATGTATATGCAGGAATAGCGCGCAGTAACTAATAGATTTCCATAAGCAGTGCAATTGTGTGAAGAGACATTAATTCACTGTAGTGGCATTTTATGATCACTTAAAGGTATGATAGGTTTGACTAAGTGCTGAATGTTCCCTTGTGGCGACTTGATATTATTTGGAGATGCTTGAATTATACCGATATATGGGCAAAATCAGCGGGTTCACTACATTACATCACAGTAATAAAAATACGTAGATGATTATAATATAATGAGAGACCCTGAGCTCAAACACGCAGGTTGAGTTGGAAAAAAAAAGTGAGACGAGACTTCATAATGGTAACAACTGTTCAATGTCTAGAAATACCTGCCATTAAAAGCCGTGCCACAGAATTAAAATACAAACTTTGCCGTAGGCTGCTTGACGGTGGGTGGCGCTGATTGGAGATGACATTATGAGAGCACCATTAAAATCCCACTGAGTAATTAGCGACCGACCGACGAGAGTGAGCGAAGCGGTTGTAAGTTGGGCCTCGGAATAGAAGCGCTCGTAATTCAAGTCACGTTCGAGTCGCACAAGACTGACGACGATTGCCGTTTACGCTGTCGACAACAATCCGCTGGAGAGAGCGAGAGAACCGCGTTTTGTCTTGGGCGACTGCTTGAGATGGTTTACGATCTATGGTGACGGAGACGATTTTGAATTGTCACCGAGTGCCCAATGCCGTTGCATTATCAAGTGGGAAAACCTTTGGTCAGTGTGCGCACTGGTGGCAAGAAGCCACATTGATCAGAAACGGTGGGAATAAAAAGATGCTTTAAAAAAGCCACGTATATTGGCAAGGAAAGCTGTGTGCTTGGAAATAACTGAAATGGACGAGAGAGAGAGAAGTGTGGATTAGAGACTAGATGGTAATGCGAGAAGTCACGTTCATTATTGGAAACACAATTAGTCTTGCGTCGTGCATGTCACTGTGTGAGCACAACTTGTGCACAAGCCATGGCAGATGAGGATACCTGATACGCAAATTAAAAACTCTCCCGTGTATGACTGTGGTCATCCAGAACAGACTGTACAACATGTAATGACGCAATGCCCCGATCCTCAAATATGAATGCAAAATTGCAGCGATACTCTGCTGCTCCTGACGCGGTTATCTGGCTTGACCATCTGAATGTGAAATTGTAGTCGTTGCTCTGCATCTGCGTCAGCCGTGCAAAAGAAGGAGGTGCACTGGAACTTGGAATGCAAACATATTCCGGTTTAACACATAGTAGTAGGTCTTTGCGACCAATATTATCGATAATATAATAGATGTTTTTGGGTTGATCGCATAAATATAAATGTGTCGTTAAACCCGCCACCACCTGACACAGCCAATTAGTAAGGTGTGTCACGTAAACAAAACATGCCAATTAGTGACTAGTGCAGCACACTGGTGTGTTGAAGAGTACATTTTGGTTATCGCCTGATGAAGCTGTTTGTAATTACCGGCAAAATGTCGTACTCAAATTGCAAATGTTGTGGGTTTACTCTCTTATATACCGGTGTGATGAACTAGTAATGAATTAGCATGTTTTGTTGACATAACAAACATTACTAATTGGCTGTGTCAGGTGGTGGTGGGTTTAACGACACATTAATCTTTACGTGATCTAACCAAAAAAAAACCTTTATGATGAATGACAATCCAGAAAAGA